GATACACTGTCTTACCCCACTTTCGTTAGGTCCTTTACGTCTCGTAACATCTAAAATGCTAAATTCCATTAACCAATTAAGGAGCCATTTTATTCATAAACCAGTGGAATGTGTTGTCCTTGTTCTAAAGAACCGACGAGTTCTGGACACTTGCAGAAGAATTCCTCCGGAGGAGACAAGGAGGTGAATCAATTACATAATCTACCGTGGAACAAACTTTGAGAAATGGTCAATATTTTCTGTGGACCAGGTGCTTGGAGTTTTGTTCAAGTGTGGAGGGTTGAGGTTGATACCGGTCTGGTTTCTCGCACCAGTCCCTTCTGCTCGCGTCTTCTGTTCTAACTCTGGACGTGGTCCGACCCTCTACTTAGACGTTATCCATTTCGTCGAACCCACACTTCTGTAGTTGACACCCTTCGTTATACACTCTTCTTACATTCTGTATGTCCTGGTGACATTCAGAGGGAGCCTCGACCGCCAGGTCCGCGTTCTAGAGTCGGGGCACCCCAGTTTTACTATTCGCCTTCTCCTGCACCTCGTTTTTAGGTTTTCTTGGTGTGCCCCCCTGGCATCGTTACTGGACGTCTCCGAACCCCCCTGGTTCCATCTGTTCCGATTGGTAGTCATTGGTGATGCGGCGGTCCCTGAGTTTAGGAACGTCACGGTCTGGCACAGGGCGGACGAATTCGGCTCAATGTACACGTCTCCGGGCAGACTTCAAACGATCTGCTTCGTAAATCTACCTAGGTCTTTCCTAACCCCTTTTCATATTACCAGCCTACCTTTCGGTCTTATCCTTGAAAAACCATTTTGAGTTGGTCTGCCCCACACACCCCCTCTTCTTACCACCTCAACGTAGTTTCTTGTCGCCGTATGGCATGACACTTTTGTACCCCCACTTTGCAGTACGAAACCCGACAAAAAGACCGTTTCCCTGGTCTGTGACCTAGGGACATCTTAACCCTTCTTACTTACCACGGCTGACATAGCACTCTAACAACTCCTGTTGGAGCGACGGTCACGTCGTCCCGTCCAACTTCGGAGCTTTGCACCGACCCAGCAAGTACTGCTTCTTCCTCACCGCGAGCATCTTCGTAAAGTTCCCGGCACCCTCACCGGCTCCAGACCTCCAGACGATCTAATGCGGTATCTTTACAAACCCTCTCAACTTTCAGCAACAACGCGCGCTCGCTCGTGTGGTTCTTCGTAGTGGCCCGATCTCTACGCGCTACCTCCTTGGTTTTAATCGGGTCGTCGGTCCCCCAACCTTCTTGCGACCACTTCTGGCATTCCTTTCTCGCAAACTGCCGAGCACAGCCTAACTTGTTTCCGAATCATTCTCTCATAGCCTCTACCTTAACAATAACTTTTCATCGAATAAAAGGTGGTATTAACGTTTACTTCACGAACATTCTTATCTCGTATACACCAAAAACGACCTACAAAGAAACGACGGTAAAACACGAAGAGCTATCACACTCTCATATCGATCCTACTTCTTATGGTCCCGGACAGAAAATTCACAACCATCTTACAAACACAACACAAGTACAACCGACCAAGCTTTACCTTGAAACCTGGGCGTGCAAATATGATAGTACAACATTAATACAAAATACGCATAGGATGAAAATTACAGGCCTCTCTCATCTTTTTAAGTGGTTGAACTTGCACAATTGGTGGCTGACTAAATATTTTTTAGCCCCACTGTAAAACCATGCTCGTATACAACCTATAGAAAGGCAAATGGCGTCAGTTTAGACGTAATTCTGTCCTCCTGTTTACCGCATCATTTATGAGAAAACATTTCATAACATTAACACAACATATTCGAGGTGGTTTTAAATAACATATCCGTATTTATTTATTTCTCCAAGTTACGTTTTTGTGTGCACTGAGGAGTCGCAAACAGGCGTTTGTTTAATCATTTTAAGATTGGCTTTGATCAATGTTTGAAAAATGAATTCTTCATATATGATAAATGAGAGGTAACATTTTATTTACGGTATTATTTCCACATATTTCTCTCCATTCTTCCTTCTGCCAACGGTGTCGCAGTTTCTCGTCTCTCCCGTTTTTGTGCTTAGTGCGTACGCATGGGTTAGAGTTTGCGTGGAGGACCGCAAGTTTTCCCGTCAAGTTAGTATTTTATAAATCGCAAACATTGCGTAGAAACTGGCGTACGCCATTTTTTGAGCGTATATCCCTTTATAAATGAGGCCCCTGGTCTCACACAGGCACACTGCTCATACTGTACATGCATGAACTGTTAATGGCAAACTGTTTTGACATTTCTGTGAATTAAAACATTAAATAACACTTTTGGATGTTTGTCACAGTTTTGCCATTGTTGCTCGCAGTCACCATATACTTTTAGTCATCAAGAATATCTTTATTCGTCATTGTGTCATGCTTAAAAAAACAACGTTTTCTTTAAGAATTGCGTGTTAACAAATAACACGCGAGTCATAAATACATATATAACCCAATTTTTTCCTTAAATGGAAAGCCTACTTGATCTGCTGTGCTATGTGAGCCGTATCACCTGTATTGGCGCCTGCATGGAGGCCATAGGCTGGTCGATGGAGGTGAAGGCGGAGATTGCCGACATGAGAACGTCGTCACTGACCAGAACGTTGCCCTGCACCAGGGTGTGTGTAAGGGGGGAGGGAGGCACTGTGATGTAGGTGGACACCTGAAGCAGAAGTTGTGGGAAATACACAAAAGATCAGAATTAACAAGTGAGAAAGGATGCACGATTGTAAAAATAATTCTAACCTACTTTGTTAAATACTTTTATAAAAGGAAAATACATATTTGTCTTAGTGTCATAAGACAAAATAAATGTTACTGCACAGTTTTATCTTTACACATCTCTATAAATTCTCCTTTTCTTATAGTCCTGCTCTCACTGGCAGGATCTTGTGTTACCTGCTTTATTTTGTAACATACTGGGTAGTTTATTTAGTTTAAAAAAAAGTATCCAATGATGTACAGACAACTCTTTCCCCATGTAAGTCAATGGGAAAAAGTGTTTCCGGGCCTGGCAACCAAACAGAAGTGTAGTACCGCCGTTTGGCCACCACGAATATTTTCATCTGAGTCCGGCACACTTCCTGGGGGCTTGGCCCCACCCTGATTATATCCATCTGTGTTAAACAGCCCTGCTTCCCTTAGGTCTCTACCTACCATTCCAGCTTTGTCTTGTCAATGGCATTAGTCCTGTGTGTGTATATATTCATGTCTTTCACAGTGTTGCAGTTTGTCATCAATGTTCCTGTGGATGGTTTCCTGCTGAGGTTCTGTTGTCCATATTTCTGTATCTGGATTATTCCTTGTGATGCTCTTGACACCCCCGGTTTGTTCCTTGTTTTATTTTGCTTTTTTTATTTGTCTATTACCTTGCCCAGTTCCTGTGTTTTTTTGTATACTAGTTTTTGTTATCAGCTTCTGTTCATTTAAAACTTAAAAAAGTAGATATTGATCAAATTCTTTATCTCATTAAAAACCTTATAACTATCCTCACCTGTCTGTTGGCAGGAGTCTGTGGCCCCGAGCTGATGGAGGGGACCGGTGTGTAGGCGTTGGTGGAGGCCAGGGACACTGTGGACAGCGAGGGGACGCTGGATTGACACTGCTCCCTCTTGTGTAACATGAAGGCCGGCAGGGAGTTAAATTGTTTCTTGCACTTCCCACACAGGAACACGTCCTCGTCGTCTGTACACATGCAGGTTTGAGGTGCTGAATATGCAGTCATAAAATGGTAATTTATAATAAAAGATAGTACATTTCAATCTATAGTCCCTACTTATCTTATCTTGTGTATTTATTGCAAAGTAGGTAAACAAATATAAGGAATTTGATTTAGTGTATAACTGTGCATACATAGACAGTTAGACACATAAGGAAAATTAAGTTATAGATAGAACTATTCATAACTATTTAAAAATAAAGAGAAATCTTTAAAATAAATATAAACATACAGAAAATGAATGGCAATTAAAATATAACTATTATTACTCTGAAAAATATAGTCAGAGGTGTAAAATGTGCAAGTAATAGAGGAATGAACATTTAATCTCATATAGGGCATAGAGTGAATGTAATGCATGTCACTGGCCAAATAAAGAAATTACCCGAACATAGAGTTTGTTCGGTTACCGCTCAGCTGTCATTCACTGTGATTTCTGTACATACCCATGGTCTGGATCGCCGACGTCCCAGAGACGTTCTGGTTGTTTGGGTCAGGAACTTCTCCCTGGCCATCCAACAGAGACTGGACCGCCAACACTGTCTGGTTATCCATGCCTGAGAAGGAAATGTGTAATAAGTCACGGAAGTGGCTCAGTCAGTCGGGGCTTGTACTGTGAGCCGTAGGTTCAAGTCCCCGACCAGACCTAAATATGGAGTGTGGACTTCTACTTGGAGAGGTCCCAGTTCACCTCCTGCCCTGCCGTGGTGCCCTTGAGCAAGGCACCAAAAAAAAAAACACTCCCATTGCTCCCCTGGCGCTGTACAATAGCTTCCCACTGCTCCTAGTACTAGACTCCTGGTACTAGGATGGGTTAAATTCAGAGAACAAATGTCACTGTGTGTGCTGTGTGCTCTGCATGTGTGACCATCAAAGAGGGTTTCATCCCTCCCAATTATATTCTATTATGCCCAGCTATGTAGTTATTCCACCGTAAAGGGGTCTGGGTAATAAGCTAAGAGAAAGGAACAGCGTCTGGCACTGGTGATGGATTGTGTCTTGTTATAATTAATTTCACCAAGGACCCATCTTTGTGATCATAGTCAGGTAAACCTTCAGATGTAATATAGAAAAACGATGCATGCTCTAAATCGAGTTCAGCATTATATTGTATATTCTCAAGCATCTCTTTTAAGCTATATTGATCTTATAACAAATTTTGGAAATGTGACACGCATCTAATGATTGATACCTCAATAAACTAATATATACAAAGCATCTGATCAACGCAAATTAGCTTTAACAGATACTCTATTTGCCCTTATACCATCAACACAGTGTGTTGTCATCAAAAGAGCCTGCTGCTAAAAATGTAAATGCAGTCTATATAGCAAGAGAGGGATACATAATGACTGCATTGCATGCCTGCAATGTCATAAAAAAGACTTCCAGATCCAAGATAAGATATGGACAATTAACAATATATTTGTTTGTTTACAGTCTATCACTCTTCATTACATGGGATGTTATGATTGTTATTACGAAGATAGACACATTTACATGGTTTTATAGGGAGTGTTCTGCACACCGAAAGGGTCCTGGTTCATTGACAGTGTTTACAAAGTACATTCACGTTTAATTGTATTTGCATTTACGTAGTTATAAACAAATGTTCCTACCTTCAAGCACTTCAAATATTGCCTGCGCCATCTTGTATCTCCTCTGCTGCGCGATAGGCGCTCGATTAGCAGGGGCTGCCTGTTTGAGGCGCTAACTGAATAATGGGTAATTACAACACTAAACACTTAAAGGAAACCATATTCCTAGGAAGTCTTCATAATAGACTGGTGGGTGTTAAAAATATTAACTAAACGGATATACAGCCTTCTTTTTCCTGTAATCATCAGAAAATATGGTTGAGGTTCAACATTTCTCCAAATAACAGTTTTCCGAATGACACAACAGGAAAACATAGTGATAAACACACTTAAGTTTGTTTATCGCCATATTTTGAATGGGTAACCATTTTCTCGAAATGAAGTGATACAAATGTTAAGTTATTCAATGTAAGATGACAAAACGAACGTGATGCTAGAACGATCATTTTGAATCCTGGATAGTGAATGCAACATAACATCACATCGATGAATCCGCGCTGAAATAACAGACAACTGTTTACACCAATCAGACGCAGCCGGTCCCTTCCTCCGGAAAGGGCTGCTTGTCGACCAATGGCAAGCGTCGGATTGAGGCACATGGCACTTTCGCGGCAAAAAAGATTTCGCGCGAAAACCGTCCGATCCCTGTTTAGATGTAGATCAGCTGGGACAATAACAACAATAACAGCCGATATCGGGGTCGGAGCGGCGCTTTTATAAATGGACCGCGCCCGGTGTGAACACCCCACGGAACCGCGGATGGTCTTTTAAACGATGAGGGTTTATTTCACCGGTTTATTTCCTTACATTTCCAGTTTAGTCAGACTGCTTCCTGCGTGCCCCAACAAAACGAGGGGGTTGGAGAATTGCAGCTAATAACCCAGCTAGCATGCTAATCTGCCCTATATTTTCATATTCAACAATACCGCTTTACACTCCTCTTAACTGGCTTTCGCGTCATTACATGTGCTTGCAAAATGCTTCTGGGTTACAGTGTCGGTTTGATATTTTTATTTCGATAGCCCACTGTGGTAATGCTGCTATAAAGTTTTACTATCAATTTGACTAAGCCCTTACTTATGTGTAAGGAGAAATACTAATGTTTTAAATACTTAAATAGCTATTTTCTCGGCTTGACCGTGTAGTTTGTTAACTTGTTTGTTGTTAAGCTAGCTTGTTAGCAGAGGTTGTGTTAGGTGCGTGTGGCCAGGCCTCACGGCTGTACTGTACTGACAGGACAGATGACAACAAAAGATTAGCTTGCTCCCATGCTAGCTCGCTAACCCCCTGCGTTTATTTCTGCCACGGCTCATTTTCAACTCTTTATTTTTAATATATGAGCTATATCAGTTGTTATGCATTTAGCTCAGTTTTCTTTGCCAAATTTCCTGTTTGGCATAACATCCTGTGTTGCTGTGTCACCACCAGCCTTAAAGTGGTGGTGAGCAGTTAGCTTATTATCTAGGTAATATTGCTAGTTATAATGCATTTGTAATTGATTGTTTATAAGATGGACAATGCAGAGAGGGGAACTTTTTTTAAGCAATTGTAAAGCTCCCCATAACCAAGCAAACATTTAAGGGGTTTTATTATTGTTTACTATCAAACCCAAGAGTGTGCTGAAACTCAAGTTGCAGCATTTGAATGTGCAATCCTTGACGTCCATTAAAGGGTTTTAAGTGACACACTGCAATGTCAGAGACTCTGATCACGGGCCACACATCAGAGGATCTGTTGGCTGACTTTGAGACTCTGCTGAACTCTGGGAGCATTGACCTGGCTGAGGACCACCAGATAGTGATCATCACCAGCCCCAGCAATGAGGGACTCCACCCGATCGCAGCCCCCACCAGCACGGGGGAGATCCTGCTGTTTGCCACGCCACAGGGCCCCGCTGATGTCCAGGACAAGAGGCGACCGGCCCTCGGGAGACCTCCGGTGAGGAATACGGGGATATGTTGGAAGAATATAAGGGCATCTACCTGTTGCTTTAAGACGATTTGCTTTTAATTCAACAGGGAGTTTCATTTTCAGTAATTTCCTCATAACACATTGTTGTTATGATCTCATGATTATTTATTTTTTCTCGACCATACGTTTTCTGCAGGTAAAGAGGAAGTTGGACCTGGATAGTGACCATCAGTATTTCAGCACCACTCGCCCGTCCATAGGCCAAGCATCGCCCTCCACACCTGCCCCTCCGAGAGGTACACACAGACACACACACTGACACACTGACAGCTTACCACTGCTTTTTGTTCCTCTTTGTTACCCAAATTTCACAGCAGAAGCAACTACACGTGAGCAGCTCGTCCATTCAAACCATACAAACTTTGACCTTTGTTTTAGACGTCATCGTCCAAAAAACAGCTGTTCTCAGCAGAGACAACAGCCATTCTGTGACGACGGCAGGCAAACTCATATCAGAAATTATTCAAATGATTGGAAAAAAAACAAATTGCATAGACTTTGCCACAGCACACAAACAAAAACATGGAGTGTGGAAGACAGACAGGGTTTGGTAGTTTGTGAAACTTTTAGTGTACTTTCACAAATAAAAAAACTACAAATTCATGGGATAAGTAATAAGATTAATACATAATGTAACTTTTTGACAGGGAGTGCAAACATTAACACATTAAATAGCCAGTTGAAAAGTAGGGTTTACTTAAATCAACTTATAATTATACTCCAATAATCCCAGTTGCATCCATCACATGAAACCAGAACAATCCAAAATAAGAATGATAGTTTTTACTCTTGAGTTGTAATTTCCCACTTGTAATTGCCATGTTATTTTGTCGGGAAGACAAGATAAGCCTATAATCCATTAGTTAGGAGAAATGCTGCTCCTCTGTACTGCTTCAGTCTGCTGAAGGGCATTAAGGGGGTGTTTTACAGTAAAAACAAACTACCCAGTTTGTTTAAAAGCAGAATGTCAGAACCCATATGTTTCCTCTCTTCAGTCCCTCGAACAACGACGGAGAAGTCCCGCTATGACACTTCGTTGAACCTGACCACCAAGCGCTTCCTGAACCTTCTGTCCCAGTCTGCTGACGGTGTGGTGGACCTGAACTGGGCCTCGCAGGTCCTCGATGTCCAGAAGAGACGCATCTACGACATCACCAACGTGCTGGAGGGCATCCAGCTCATCTCCAAGAAGTCCAAGAACAACATCCAGTGGCTGTGAGTTAACATGAGAACCAAACATGACTACATAAACACCAACTATTGCAATAAAAAAAACTTAAGAAGTTGCTGGTATGTTGTATTTGGATTCTATAAAGCTCAACTATTGTTTACTTTTTTCTGTAATTTCTCTTGTGCAGTGGTAATCGAGTTGATGCGGCAGTGGTTTCCCGCCATAAGGAGCTGCAGAGGGAGGTGTGTGATCTCACAGAGGCTGAGGAGCAGCTGGACGACCTCATTTCAAAATGCAACCTACAGTTGCGACTGCTCACAGAGGACCAGCAGAACAAGAAATATCCTTACACCAGTTTTAGTAACTTGTTCAATTTTTACAGCTAGCTAAGTGCCCTTCCAAGCCCTGTTTCTGGCAGAAATGCCCTGCTAGGGCCCTAGGAAGAGCCTCCTCCTAGCACTTGTTTTAATTACATAAGTACCTTGATGTATCATGGCTTGATAAGAGAAACCAGCTCTATCCCCTTGGATGAACTGTTTGTGCCACTATATCTTTTTTTAAATGAACACCAAGAGAACGATTATTCTCAAACTTTTGGGAACTGAGCCTGTCCCCACTCAGACTCCCACAAAGCCAGTTGAACGATCAAAGTATGACCATAAGTCCTCACCGATGCGCTCCAACAAAATAAGCGTATTGGTATTTATTATGGTAGTTTCCATCTAAAATACACAGAAAAAAACCAGCTTCGCCTGAGTTCTACATCGATGTCACCAGCGCTTTTACATGAAAAGGTACAAATATTTTCAACTCCAAGCCTCAAAGCGGTCGAACAAATACTATGGTGCACTAACAGAAAGGAAAAAACGTTTTCTTGAGGAGGCCGCATGGACTTGTGATTTCTCATTAGAAATATTTTTTTAAATGTCACTGTCGCTCGGGAAAAAATGGCACTTAAAGATAACAAGCCCCAAGATAGCAGAGCTTCTTTAAGACAGTGTTGCAGATTGTTGTTGTGTTCCTTAACGGTTCTTCACGTTGGGCTATGTGCGCTGCCAGGACCTGAAGAAGTCGTTTGACTCCCCGGACCAGTTGGTCATGGTGATCCGAGCTCCACCAGAGACCCAGATGCAGGTTTCAGAACCCAGCCAGGTACGGGCCTTAATGTTATTCACTGTTTAAAACATGTTGATTCTGAGGTAGGCGAGGCAACAATTGTTCTACATTTAGAAAATATATATATCTGAAAGGAAGAAAAAAACAACAGACAATCAACTCTACTCTCAACCTGAAAAAGGAATAGGTCAAGAACAACCGTAATGATGCCGGCGAGAGTGAGTTGATGTCCCAACACTGTATACATTTAACATACATTCTGTTGCACTGTGGAAACAATAACATATCACATGTGTGCTTTATACCAGACTGGGGAGGTGACCAATTCAACATCACCATTTGCACTTTTCCATCACAAAACACACATTTTATATTGTTATATTTACTGGAAATTACGTACAATATACCCAACAGCAAGAAGGACACTCTCAGGCGTTCTCCCTCCTGCAAGCTGCAACTTTATTTAGGTTTATAGTGAAATGAGTATTGAATAGATAATTCCTCAATCAAAGTATGCAATCAACACCTGCTCACGTTTTGTTAGGACTCAGTGGAGCAGTTCAGTCAATTAAGTTCAGATAGATGTCTACAGTTTTTATTTGTTTTTTTGGAAAAGTATTGTTATGTAATTCTTGAAAAGATAGAAGACACTGCAAATAAAACAGCAACAAAAGGAAAAAAATCCCATGAAAAAATTATAATATCGAACCAGATTGCTTTGACTTTTTAACTAAATAAATATAACTACACAAGTATCATAGGTCATGTTTCCCACAGGTCCTCCAAATTCATGAAAGTGTATGAATTTCAGGAAAAAATGTCAAGTCCTTGAAAACTTTTGTAAATATGTAGGGATGCTCCGATCAATCGGTCACCGATCGAGATCCGCCGATACTCACTCTCTACCGATCAATCGGTTCTCTCTAAACATGCCAATCGCGAGAGCCGATCGCATGACGTAAAATTATGACGTAAATAAACTTTTCTCTGTGCGCGGCAAAACAAGCTCGCCAAAATGGCTTCACCGGTCTGGCATTATTTTAAGGTGTCCGAAAAAGACAGTAAAACAGCGGTATGCAACGTGTGTGAAGCAGAAATCCTGCAGCTCCGCCCGCTGTGACGGACCGGTGAGCGGAGCAACACACACACTAAGTTAGACCNGCGAAGACAGACAGACATTACGAGAGCGAGACCAATTTTGTCCCCCGTACCACTGGTGAAAACCAATGCTGTAGATCACTGCCGGTACGTGCCGCTGGGAGCGCACCCGTTTAAGTTTGAAAGTTGAAAAGTTTGTGTGTCTTGAAACGCTATGTGATACAGTACAGTTTACACAGCACAGTACATGTTACTGTAGCTACTTTATGCACTAAATCGGTAACCACTGAATACGTTATGCAAATATGCAACTTGTTTGTTGGAAATGTTAATAAATGGGAGCTTCCTCAAACAGCCATCTCTTTCCCGACAATCCCCTCTGTGCCACGAACCCTTACATATGGTAATTAAACATTAAAACACCTGCGGCTTATAGTCCAGTGCGGCTTATATATGTACACATCATTCAATTTAGCTGCTGCGGCTTATATTCAGGTGTGCCTTATAGTCCGAAAATTACGGTAGTTATAAATATATTTATTTTTCACTGTCGGGTCACTCATTACTGGATCAGTGAGCTGCATGAGATACTGACAGGCTGTCAGGAGAGGGAGAGAGAGAGAGGGGGAGAGAGGAAAGGAGAGCGCTTCCGCTCATTTCTCCCGCGTTATTATCCAAAGTTAATGTAAACTTGAATAATGTACTTCATTTGAATGTAATAATTATGTTGGTTGTTGTTTGTGGAAGCACCAGTGAATGAGCCCCATTAACTGAGTTTTAAACATCACTTTAAATGGAAGATCCCTATAGGCCCAGCCCACTCGATCGGATCGGCGATCGGTATCGGTCGATACTGTTTCCAGTGATCGGCCCCAAAATTGGTGATCGGAGCATCCCTAAGTAAAAAGAGATGTCAATCATCAAAATCGACGATGGGTTCCAGAGATAAGGAAAATCCACCAAAATGACCCCAGAAGTGTTTTTCTTTTCTAAATCTCTCTAAAAAGATCAAATGTCACTTGTTTTGCATCAATTTTGATACCGGGTACTTATATTTTATAGTATGGATTCCTAAAGCTTTTAGTCTACTATCCCATCATTCAAGGGTGGTTTTCACTATAAGTAATGTGTTTCTTTTGGACCGACACTATCATTTACATTTGGGCATGGAGGAAAAAAGAGAGGGTTTTGTTTTCTGACACTTTGTGAGTTCCCTTACACACCAGGGACACATATTTATGTATAAAATACATAAAAAAGTGCTTTTTGCATGATAGGAGACCTTTAAGCACCTGATGCCATCAATACCCAATAACACAAACTTAAGAAGGAAATACACAAGAGTCAGCATATTATTAAGAACGATTGTGGAAGTTGTCCAATAGTTCTGGTGTGACCTTTGAACACTTATCCTGCAGGACTATACCGCCACCATCTTTCTCCGCCAGCGCTGGACCGACGAGCGCTTGGTGTTTGAAGGCAACAAGAGCCTGAGCCTGGACGGGCGGCTGGTGGAACTCCTCTGGGTCCCCGACACCTTCATCGTGGACTCCAAGAAGTCCTTCCTCCATGACATCACCGTGGAGAACAGGCTGATACGCATCTTCCCCAACGGGACCGTCCTTTACGCTCTGAGGTGGGATAACGAACAAGCTTAACAGTTTTGTGTTGTTTTATCTGCTCCAACAGATGATGAAAAGTAGGCCAGGGAACGGAGAAGGAATTGGCTGAGGGAGGCGGCAGGGTTTACATTTTGAGATAATGTGATTGCAAAGCAGGGACTGTCTACTATATTACCTGGGTATTAGATTGTATGAATACTGAAGCAAGCATTCTGTCAATACAAAGAGCTTTGGGCTATCGAAGCAACAGCGAGGCCCGTTAGCATCTTCTCAGCATTGATTGCTCTGTATACTAAGGGCTTAATGTCTTACAAGCTCTTGGCAAGCTTCTGAAACATGCATCGCACTGACTTTCTGATTAGACTTCGGGCCAAGCAGACAGGTTATAGATAGAAAGGTTGTAGATGATCCAGCAACTGAATTTGTTCAGCTCTTTTAAGCCTGTGATGATGGGATTTACACATCCTACTGCTTTTATGTCACATGCATGCTATTGCTATAACCTCAGTTGTGTAAGAGATGCCCGTGCTCCCGATTTGACTTCCTCCACTCAAGGCTCTGCGCCTCAGTGCATCTCATTTTCTTTTCATGAATAGTTTTATCATGGTTAAACACATGGGCGTAGGAAGAATCCTCAATGTGGGTTAGACAATTTGACAGGGGGTGGTGGACCTCACCTCGGTGAAGATTTTTTTTTAAATGTTGAAGTTAAATGCATCAATCTGCTGCACTTTGAGAGCAACATTAGGGACTAAATCTATGGATACATCTCCCAAAACCCATTTGAAACAGAACTGTAAACAGATTTACTTTTTCTTTATGCATATTTTACAATTCACTCCCCTTTTAACATGTATTTTTGTGTTACTGTCCTATGGTATGAGTTGGAATTATTTCATACCTGTTATTCTGTTATTCTCTTATTTTTTATAACTATAGACCAGGGGTCGGCAACCTTTTTGATATGAAGTGCCATTTAAAAAAATAATTGTTATCAGCGTGCCAACGATCGAGAATTATCAACGGGGGGGGGGTTGAGGAGCTTGATGCTCGTCAACTATCAGCAGGAGGGCGGGGGAGCCTCGCTGCGGGGAAGCAGTGTGTGACCTGTCAGCGCAACTCACATGATGCCGAATTTAACAAACACATTTAAATAATTGGTTTAAACGGCATAATAATAAGGACGATCGTCCGTTCTGTGATTCTCCAGAGCACACATGCTATGATATTAGGGTCATGCAGAGTGAGATGAGATCGCTGTCCCTTTAAGAGAGAGAGAGAGAGGGGTGTGGCTTGTGCATGTGTGTTTGTGGATGGGAGAGCGACAGTGAGAGAACCTATGGAGAGAACGTGTGTATGTTTCTGGAAGTGAAACGAGGAAGCAGAAAAACAGAGGTCTGCGATGTATTTTGTGAAACAGAAGAACAGCTAAATAAATTCAACGGCCTCCCAAGAAGAGCTCGCCTCTCTCTAAATAAAGTGGGTTATTGAACCTGAAGCTTGTTGCTTCTGCCCTCCTCGACTACGGTCTGGGAGCCGACCGGAAAGTTCAACACACAGATGGCCAGTCCGCCCTCACTCGACTACGGTCTGGGACAGCCGGACAGGAAAAGTTCAACACACAGATGACCAGTCCGCCCCTTTGTAGCATATTATTTAGATGAGAGATGAGCAGATCGCCACTGGGCCTTTCAAACTAAATACACAGCCACGCAAAAACTTGCGGCATTTGTACAGCTCCTCTATGGGTATACTGCAATTAGTGAAGTGCTTTCCTCCGTGGTGAAACGATCAGCACTGCACCACGGAGAAGCGGCCAGAATGTCAACCTGGAGATAGAAGAGAGCGGGGCTGCGTTGCGTTGCATGGCTTCCTTCTGCAGGTAACGAGGAGACGCGCTCTGGCGGCCGGTGCCTCGTTTCAGGATCCGAAAATACGAATTTAAATATTTTTGCACACTTATTCCACTTATTCCTAGTGTGCCACTGGTTACGGTGCCCAAAAAATCTTGGATTATGCAGGGCTAAAATCCTTTGATTATGCGATTAAACATGCAGGGTTTATGTCATTTATGCGGCTGAAATTGCGGGAAGTTGCGAAATATGCGGAAAGTTCGCGAAAAAGAATAGATTTTTTTTTAAATATTGGGCTGTCTTATTTATTCTCTCTCCCACACAACCTGCCACTGAACGTTAAACCCCTTTCTCTATTCAATTAACACATTCAATGTTTATTTTATTGCAAAAGCAATTGTGCTATTTTAATCACACTTCTCTCTCACACCACACCAGCGTACACACAGCAACGGCTCCGCACCGCAATTTCAGCTACCATTTTCTGGCTATTTAGAATTCAGTTTTGGTAATAAAAGAGTGTAGAAGATCTGTAGACCTGAAATTCTACAGGACTGTGAGGACGGGCGCGGGACTGGGCGTGAGTGGGCGTTTCCCTGACAACAATTATGAATTGTCATGAGAACCCCTCCTGGATTAGCCCGCGCGCTGGCACCAGTTATCCCATAACACACCACCCCATACACACACAGCAGTCTCTGACAGCTTATGAGGACGCAAATGGTACATTGACAATAATACCACCACACACAGAATTGTAGAAACACCTGTACCTCATGAGGCACAAATTAAGGGTTCAACCTGGACATTATCCCTCAAACATGTGGTGCGAAATTATTTTGTTACTGAAAAAGTACCCCAATACTCTGTCCGTTATATTTTTTCTGTTCAGCATTTAAAATAAACGGAAGTTGGGCCTACCTCTTTCAGTAACAAAACATATTGCGCAACACATGTCTGTGGAGGATAATGTGCCAGTGGAAACCCTTACTTGTCCTCCATGAGTACAGGTTTCTAACAATTCTGTGTGTGTGGTACTATTGGTCACGATGGTCACCAATTGTGGTCCCTCATAAACTCAGGGGACTTGCTGGTGTGGGTAATGGTGGTGTATGGATAAATGTCCCCAGCTGCAATCCAGAGGGGTTTCTCTCATAAAATCATGACGACACCGTGTTCAAGGAAGCCACTCCCGCCAGTTCCGCCCCGCTCCTCACAGTCCCTGTAGAATTATCAGGTCTACAGATCTCATCACTCTTTTACAAAACTGAATTCTAAATAGCCAGAAATGTAGCTGAATTGCCTCCGCGTGCGTGCGTGTGGTTTGTGAGACGCAGAGTGTGGCATTAAAATAGCACAATTGCCTTTTTGCAAATAAATAAAACTTGAATCTGTTTAATTGAATACGGACGGGTTTTAACTTAGTCGGGCAAGGTACTGTGGTGTGAGAAGAGAATAATAAAGACAGCCAATATTTACAAAAAAAATCTATTCTTTTTTCGCAACTTTCCGCATATTTGCGCGCAAACTTCCCGCATTTCACCGCTTAATGACATAAAAAACCCTGCATGTTTCAATCGCATAATCAAGGATTGCTAGCCTGCATAATCAAACGGATTTTTTGGCACCGTACCAGCTTGGCACCACTAGGAATAAGTGGATAATGTGTTGCAAAAATATTTAAAATTGGTAATTTTTCGGATCCCTGAACCGAGACCCCGCGCGCCAGAGCAGCGTCTCCCTCCGTTACCTGCAGAAGGAAGCCATGCCACGCAACGCAGGCCCCCGCTCTCTTTATCTCCAGGTGACATTCTGCCGCTTTCCTCCGTGGTGCAGTGCTGATCGTATTCACACGGGAAGGAAAGCAACTTCACTAATTTGCAGTACCCATAAGGAGCTGTACAAATGCGCAGTTTTTGCGTGGCCTGTGTATTTAGTTGAAAGCCAGTGGCGATCTGCTCATCTGCTCATCTAAAATAATATGCTACACAAGGCGGCGGACTGGTCATCTGCTGTGTTGAACTTTCTCCTGTCGCTCCCAGACCGTAGTCGACGGAGGGCAGAAGCAACAAGCCTTCAGGTTCAATAACTCCTTTAGAAGAGAGAGGCGAGCTATTCTTGGGAGGCCGTTGCATTTAATTTAGCTGTTCTTCTGTTTCACAAAATACATCGCAGACCTCTGTTTTTTCTGCTTCCTCGTTTCACTTTCCAGAAACATACACACGTTCTCTCCATAGCTTCTCTCACTGTCGCTCTCTCCATCCACAAACACACATGCACACAAGCCACACCCCTCATCTCTCTCTCTCTTAAAGGGACAGCGATCTACATCTCAACTCTGCATGACCCCTAATATCATAGCATGTGTCGCTCTGGAGAATTCACAGAAACGGACGATCGTCCTTATTATTATGTCGTTTAAACCAATTATTTAAATGTGTTTGTTAAAATCGGCCATCATGTGAGTGCGCTGAACAGGTCCACACACTGCTTCCCCCGCAGCGAGGCTCCCCTTGCCCTCCCTGCTGATAAGTTCACAAGCCGTGCAAGCTCCTCAACCCCCGCACCCCCCCGTTGATAATTCTCGATCGTTGGCAGCCGCCTGATAACAATTATTTGTTTTTATAAATGGGCACTTCCATATCAAAAAGGTGGCCGACCCTGTCTTTAGTTATAAAAAATAAGAGAATGAACAGAATAACAGGTATGAAATAATTCCGCCAACCTCATACCATGAGGACAGTAACACAAAAATACAATGTTACAAAGGGGAGTGAATTGTAAAATATGCATAGAAGAAAAAGTAAAAATGCTGTTTTACAGTTCTGTTTCAAATGGGTTTGGGAGATGTATCCATAGATTTAGTCCGGCCTAATGTTGGCTCTCAAAAGTGCAGCAGATTGGATGGCATTTTACTCAACATTTTAAAAAAAAATCTCAGCCGACGTGAGGTCGCACACGCCCTGTCAAATTGTCTAACCCACATTGAGCGATTCTTCCATACGCCGCCCATGTGTTTAACCATGATAAGAACCTATTTCATGAAAAGAAAAATGGAGATGCACTGAGGCGGCAGAGCCCTTGAGTGGAGGAAGTCAACATCGGGAGCACGGGCATCTCTCTTAGCCACAACTGGAGGTTATACGCAATAGCAGATGGCATGTGACATAAAAGCAGTAGGCATGTGTAAAATCC